TTTGGACGTTTTGATATTATTCAGCGCTTTTTGTTTATGCTTCCAACACCGATAAAAAGTTTGGCGACCTCATTGTGACCTAAAATTAATACAGATCAATGAAAAAGATCAAAGCGATATCTTATTTAGTCAGCTCTACCATTGTTAACAGCTATTCGAAGGGGTATACGATTCACATTATTTTTAATACCAGTATTGGCTTCTTTACGGATGAGAAGTTCAGCGACATTCTTATGACCTGAAAAATAATTTAGATGGATAAAAAAGATCAAATCAATCTTCTATTTGGTAAAGACAAGTATTAGGGTGGCCCAAAGTGTACACTATATTCGAGTATCCAATGTAAAATATCCAATTATTACCATTCTGAGCAGCTATTAGAGCAGGTGTCTCATTCGAATTATTTTTAACATTAACATTTGCTCCTTTACGGATGAGAAGTTCAGCAACATTCTTTTGACCTGAAAAATAACACAGATCGATGAAAAAAATAAAATTATTTTCCTATTTAGTGAGAACAAATAATAAACATTACCATTCAAAGCAACTAAATGAAGGGGTGTATTAGTAAAGTTTGTGTTAGCGTTGGCAAATAGAGCCAAAAATGAAAAAAATAGAAAAATATTCCATTTTCATTGAGAATCAGTATCGCTTTTAAGAAGAAGAAAGATTGAATATTAGATTAAGAAAGGTAACTAGTTAATAGTTCCTGACTGTCAACGACAGCACAATGTTTGGCGTGATAAACGCCGACCTTAACAATTAAGATGTTCCTCAGAGATTTTGAATTTTTCTTTGTTTATTTCTCGTCGAGCTTTTAATTAAAAAAAAACGATTGCATTCCTTACAATGAACGCAGCAAACGGAAGTAGAGAACATGTGTAGTCCGCACTCGATAGTACTGATATTGCAAATAAGCGACTTATTCAAATGGAATCTTTGAGTAAATGAAAAAAATCCATATTTAAGAAAAAATGAAAAATTTAGCATTTTTGCGGACCTAAAAATAGTTACGATAATAATAATCCGTTCTGAATACTTTGTTCGACGGAGAGAGCAAAGCAAAAAAATGCAAAATTAAAAACGAAAATATCAGAACTTAGCTTAGCTGTAAGAAATATGTAATAGAAATAAAATAAGCTGGGATGCAGAAAATGCTGAACGTCGTGAGGATCATCTTTTGGTGTTAAAGCTGCTGAAAACCCGTTACACTCAAGCTGACGACACTTCAGTACAAACATCATTTGAGCGCTCGCAGCGCCACGAACTCTCGTATCATTTTGTATTGACTTTTCGAAAGTTCATGAGTTCGCCGTAGACTTCGTCAAAACGTGTCGTCCCTTTGGTTACACTCTATGTTACTGTGTAACCACTACAACTACAGCTACACTCTAAAGTACTTTGAAAGATCAGTGCTTGTATCTCCCAATCTGCAATGCAATTGTTTCAATCGCATTCGAGTAATGACCAATAAAACAGCCCGCTGAATCGAATAGACCGAAGGCAAACTCATTGAATCCAATGGACAAAAGGCATAAAAAGCAAGTGGAACACTTGAATTCAGACTCGGTAAGTCTTTCATGATTCACAAAAAAGTAAATCGAATGGAGCGAAGTTCCGTTGGAAATATTGACATTCAATATTTTTTGTGGTTCGAATCAAGTTTTCTCCTTTTACTTCATTGACATAAACAAATGTTCATTTATTACAGATCACATTTCCTTCATCGTTGCCCATCAAAGTGATGGAACGACTCAGGTGTGGATCGAGATACAATAAAAATGATTGAATCGATAGTGTACAGACACTGGCTGGGTATACCAATGGACCCTCCTAAATCGATGAAATGGCATGCAAGAATCCAAAAGCCAGCGAGTGTTCTGCAATAGCTCGTATACGAGTTATGATACTTCCCATACTTACAATCGGTTGGGTATCGTATGAAAAGCTCAAAAAAAGCTTTGAACAAAACAGAAAATTCAAAGTCTAAGACCAAAGGATTAAAAGCAAAACTTCAATTTGAAAGCAAGGAGCATTGATTCGAGACGATTTATGGTGAATATTTTGTCATTTGAGTTCGATTTTTCTTCTAGAATATAAAACTAATATCTTTTCATTCCTTTTCTTCTTTTCTTTATTAGGTAATCAGAACATGCTTCGGTCCACTCAAACTTCACTTGAAGCTCAATTAAAAAAAAGAGTTGATTACCACAAAAATGAAACCTCAAACAGCCCTTTTGAATGTGGCAACGTCTAACCAGGTGTGGCCTTTCTTAAATCACGTTAAATCATCGATTAAACCAAATTAGTGACCGAACCAAACTGACCTTCGAACTCGATATTCAAACGGCATTTCCGGTGAAATTCAGCGATTCAATGGATACTTTCTCAAATTTTGGGAGAAAAACCAACAGGTGAGTTCAACTCACTCAGTTACAATTTTAGTTCAAATTTAACGGTTAAAATCCACCAGAAATGTACTAAATGCGCACGTAATTAGATCATGTTTAGTAATTATATCATTTTTTGTTCAGGCAGATATACAAAAAAAAATGCATAGCAGCTCGTGTAACAGTCGTTATGTCAACGCAGTCATCAGACATCACTACACATGATAAATGACAAAGTCATCAACGAAGGATCTACCACCATTTACAAGAAGCAAATCAGCACCAAGTTAGTAATTCCAACATCATTTATAAACATCAAATTCATCGAATTCCACATCGAAATTCAACTCAAATTATTATTCTTGATGATAGAACTCTATGGTTCTAGAAAAATGATTGCGTTTGTTCAGAAATAAACAAGATATCGCTCGTTTTAGCATGGCTTAGTTTTGAATATAAATGAGTTAAGTTTCGTTCATCATGAATTTCGAATAATTGAATAATTCAGTATAAATACTGCGCATATATGCTAGCGATGTTTTAGATGTGTAATTTTTT